CAAGTGTGTTGGAGACAATCAGATTGGCAAGGTATAGAGCAAATCAGTCTATATCATTGAGGGTTTTCTTCTCAAATGCTAATCCTCTACCTTTTCAAACACCGTGTCCTTTTCAAAGGATCAACCCCTCATAACAACATGCCTAAAGTGTGTGAGACAAAGCTTCACTTCACCATCCTTGTCTCAAGGAGCACTCTGACTGATGTACCCATAGGAATTTCTGTTGCTTCATATGCATGTGTATGAAGGATAATAAATAAAAAGTACCAAAGAATAACTGATACCTTTAAATTGTGGTATTGGTCAAGAATATTGGGTATACCGTCTACTGCCCAAAGAGCAAACAAATCTGTCATGGAAAAAGTGTAGCCAAAATGTTCCTTAGAAGCAAGGATGGTGTGACTTCATTTTACATACTTGGAGCATGTTATCAGGAGGGGTCAGTCCCCAGAGAAAGACATCATCTTTGGAAAAGTAGAAAGCTAGCAAAGGAAGTGAAGATCCAAAGAAGATGGATCGACAACAGTGACTGTAACAGAGGGCTTCAGCACATCATAGGTTATGAAGAGGGCACAATATCAGACAAGATTTCACTCTGTCATACTTAGAGCTGCTAATAGAGTCAAATTGAAAGCATCTAATAACTGACAGTATCTACTAATAACAGCTAGGGAAGTTTGGTGGCCTAGTGCGCCACAATTTCAAAGGCCTGTGGTTCAAGGCCACCAGCTATTCTGTGTGAGAAGGATGATCAGTCTCCTATGCAATTAACTGCTTCTGAAAACCTAACAGAGGATCACCTATGGGTCATTTCTGACTCTGTAATACAGAACAACAATAGCAGTAGCTGTGTATAGGTAGGCATTGGCTAGATAATAAAAATATCTCAGCTCATAAAATGATACCTAATCATCCTCATGTTACACTGTTTTCAGGCTCAACTTAGAACATAGAATCTATCTACAGAGATCTAACTAGTACTTTGTGCCACACAGGTGCTATGTGGTCATTCTTCTTTATAATTGTCTCTTGCTGCTGAGAATTTCTGTGTTGATTCCAGCTCATAGACCTAGTAGTAGCATAAAGGTTAAGTACTTGGCTGCAATTCAGCCAAAATCAGTGATCCAAACTTACCAACTGCTCTGCAGGAAATAAACACCTCACATTCTGCTCCTGTAAAGAGTACAGCTTGGGATACTCTGTGTGCGCTTTCACTGCATTGACACACAGCAACAACAACATTGGTTGCTATGAGAATGAACAACTACTTCAGTAGAAAAATTTAAGGAGCACTGACTTAATCTGTAGAACATAAAGATTAAAAAAAGAGTTTTAATGACTTATAAAGATAATGCTGCTGTTGTTGTTATTAGATGCTGTCAAATTGCATATGATTCATAGCAACCTTACGAATAATAGCTGTGAATCCTTTTCCTATCCTGTGTCATCCTCATCTCTGGTGCACTGGAGCCCAATGCTGAAGTCACCATGTAAGTCCATCTTGTGGGAAGTTTTTCTCTTCTTTCGCTGACCCTC